AAAAGAGCAGGTAAAAGACTTCACTCGTTGTTATGTTACAAAAGAGCAGGTAAAAGACCTCACTCGTTGTTATGTTACAAAAGAGCAGGTAAAAGACCTCACTCGTTGTTATGTTACAAAAGAGCAGGTAAAAGACCTCACTCGTTGTTATGTTACAAAAGAGCAGGTAAAAGACTTCACTCGTTATGTTACAAAAGAGCAGGTAAAAGACTTCACTCGTTATGTTACAAAAGAGCAGGTAAAAGACTTCACTCGTTGTTATGTTACAAAAGAGCAGGTAAAAGACTTCACTCGTTATGTTACAAAAGAGCAGGTAAAAGACTTCACTCGTTGTTATGTTACAAAAGAGCAGGTAAAAGACCTCACTCGTTATGTTACAAAAGAGCAGGTAAAAGACCTCACTCGTTGTTATTACAAAAGAGCAGGTAAAAGACCTCACTCGTTATGTTACAAAAGAGCAGGTAAAAGACTTCACTCGTTGTTATGTTACAAAAGAGCAGGTAAAAGACCTCACTCGTTGTTATGTTACAAAAGAGCAGGTAAAAGACTTCACTCGTTGTTATGTTACAAAAGAGCAGGTAAAAGACCTCACTCGTTGTTATTTTACAAAAGAGCAGGTAAAAGACCTCACTCGTTGTTATTTTACAAAAGAGCAGGTAAAAGACCTCACTCGTTATGTTACAAAAGAGCAGGTAAAAGACCTCACTCGTTATGTTACAAAAGAGCAGGTAAAAGACTTCACTCGTTGTTATGTTACAAAAGAGCAGGTAAAAGACCTCACTCGTTGTTATGTTACAAAAGAGCAGGTAAAAGACCTCACTCGTTGTTATTTACAAAAGAGCAGGTAAAAGACCTCACTCGTTATGTTACAAAAGAGCAGGTAAAAGACCTCACTCGTTATGTTACAAAAGAGCAGGTAAAAGACCTCACTCGTTGTTATGTTACAAAAGAGCAGGTAAAAGACCTCACTCGTTGTTATGTTACAAAAGAGCAGGTAAAAGACCTCACTCGTTATGTTACAAAAGAGCAGGTAAAAGACCTCACTCGTTATGTTACAAAAGAGCAGGTAAAAGACTTCACTCGTTATGTTACAAAAGAGCAGGTAAAAGACCTCACTCGTTGTTATTTTACAAAAGAGCAGGTAAAAGACCTCACTCGTTGTTATTTTACAAAAGAGCAGGTAAAAGACCTCACTCGTTGTTATGTTACAAAAGAGCAGGTAAAAGACCTCACTCGTTATGTTACAAAAGAGCAGGTAAAAGACTTCACTCGTTATGTTACAAAAGAGCAGGTAAAAGACTTCACTCGTTGTTATGTTACAAAAGAGCAGGTAAAAGACTTCACTCGTTATGTTACAAAAGAGCAGGTAAAAGACTTCACTCGTTATGTTACAAAAGAGCAGGTAAAAGACTTCACTCGTTGTTATGTTACAAAAGAGCAGGTAACAGACCTCACTCGTTGTTATGTTATGAAAGATTAGGTAAAAGACCTCACTCGTTGTTATGTTACAAAAGAGCAGCTAAAAGACCTTACTCATTGTTATTTACAAAAGAGCAGGTAAAAGACCTTCACTCGTTGTTATGTTACAAAAGAGCAGGTAAAAGACCTCACTCGTTGTTATTTACAAAAGAGCAGGTAAAAGACCTCACTCGTTATGTTATAAAAGAGCAGGTAAAAGACCTCACTCGTTGTTATGTTACAAAAGAGCAGGTAAAAGACCTTCACTCGTTGTTATGTTACAAAAGAGCAGGTAAAAGACCTCACTCGTTATGTTACAAAAGAGCAGGTAAAAGACCTCACTCGTTGTTATGTTACAAAAGAGCAGGTAAAAGACCTCACTCATTGTTATGTTACAAAAGAGCAGGTAAAAGACCTTACTCATTGTTATGTTACAAAAGAGCAGGTAAAAGACCTCACTCGTTGTTATTTACAAAAGAGCAGGTAAAAGACCTCACTCGTTATGTTAAAAGAGCAGGTAAAAGACCTCACTCGTTGTTATGTTACAAAAGAGCAGGTAAAAGACCTTACTCATTGTTATGTTACAAAAGAGCAGGTAAAAGACCTCACTCGTTGTTATGTTACAAAAGAGCAGGTAAAAGACCTCACTCGTTGTTATGTTACAAAAGAGCAGGTAAAAGACCTCACTCGTTGTTATTTACAAAAGAGCAGGTAAAAGACCTCACTCGTTGTTATGTTACAAAAGAGCAGGTAAAAGACCTCACTCGTTATGTTACAAAAGAGCAGGTAAAAGACTCACTCGTTATGTTACAAAAGAGCAGGTAAAAGACTTCACTCGTTGTTATGTTACAAAAGAGCAGATAAAAGACCTTACTCTTGTTATGTTACAAAAGAGCAGGTAAAAGACTTCACTCGTTATGTTACAAAAGAGCAGGTAAAAGACTTCACTCGTTGTTATGTTACAAAAGAGCAGGTAAAAGACCTCACTCGTTGTTATGTTACAAAAGAGCAGGTAAAAGACCTCACTCGTTGTTATGTTACAAAAGAGCAGGTAAAAGACCTCACTCGTTGTTATGTTACAAAAGAGCAGGTAAAAGACTTCACTCGTTATGTTACAAAAGAGCAGGTAAAAGACTTCACTCGTTATGTTACAAAAGAGCAGGTAAAAGACTTCACTCGTTGTTATGTTACAAAAGAGCAGGTAAAAGACTTCACTCGTTATGTTACAAAAGAGCAGGTAAAAGACTTCACTCGTTGTTATATTACAAAAGAGCAGGTAAAAGACCTCACTCGTTGTTATTTACAAAAGAGCAGGTAAAAGACCTCACTCGTTGTTATGTTACAAAAGAGCAGGTAAAAGACCTCACTCGTTATGTTACAAAAGAGCAGGTAAAAGACTTCACTCGTTGTTATGTTACAAAAGAGCAGGTAAAAGACCTCACTCGTTGTTATGTTACAAAAGAGCAGGTAAAAGACCTCACTCGTTGTTATTTACAAAAGAGCAGGTAAAAGACCTCACTCGTTGTTATTTACAAAAGAGCAGGTAAAAGACCTCACTCGTTATGTTACAAAAGAGCAGGTAAAAGACCTCACTCGTTATGTTACAAAAGAGCAGGTAAAAGACTTCACTCGTTGTTATGTTACAAAAGAGCAGGTAAAAGACCTCACTCGTTGTTATTTACAAAAGAGCAGGTAAAAGACCTCACTCGTTGTTATTTACAAAAGAGCAGGTAAAAGACCTCACTCGTTATGTTACAAAAGAGCAGGTAAAAGACCTCACTCGTTGTTATGTTACAAAAGAGCAGGTAAAAGACCTCACTCGTTGTTATGTTACAAAAGAGCAGGTAAAAGACCTCACTCGTTGTTATGTTACAAAGGAGCAGGTAAAAGACCTCACTCGTTATGTTACAAAAGAGCAGGTAAAAGACCTCACTCGTTATGTTACAAAAGAGCAGGTAAAAGACTTCACTCGTTATGTTACAAAAGAGCAGGTAAAAGACCTCACTCGTTGTTATTTTACAAAAGAGCAGGTAAAAGACCTCACTCGTTGTTATTTTACAAAAGAGCAGGTAAAAGACCTCACTCGTTGTTATGTTACAAAGGAGCAGGTAAAAGACCTCACTCGTTATGTTACAAAAGAGCAGGTAAAAGACTTCACTCGTTATGTTACAAAAGAGCAGGTAAAAGACTTCACTCGTTGTTATGTTACAAAAGAGCAGGTAAAAGACTTCACTCGTTATGTTACAAAAGAGCAGGTAAAAGACTTCACTCGTTATGTTACAAAAGAGCAGGTAAAAGACTTCACTCGTTGTTATGTTACAAAAGAGCAGGTAACAGACCTCACTCGTTGTTATGTTATGAAAGATTAGGTAAAAGACCTCACTCGTTGTTATGTTACAAAAGAGCAGCTAAAAGACCTTACTCATTGTTATTTTACAAAAGAGCAGGTAAAAGACTTCACTCGTTGTTACGTTACAAAAGAGCAGGTAAAAGACCTTACTCGTTGTTATTTTACAAAAGAGCAGGTAAAAGACCTCACTCGTTATGTTATAAAAGAGCAGGTAAAAGACCTCACTCGTTGTTATGTTACAAAAGAGCAGGTAAAAGACCTTACTCGTTGTTATTTTACAAAAGAGCAGGTAAAAGACCTCACTCGTTATGTTATAAAAGAGCAGGTAAAAGACCTCACTCGTTGTTATGTTACAAAAGAGCAGCTAAAAGACCTTACTCATTGTTATTTTACAAAAGAGCAGGTAAAAGACCTTACTCATTGTTATGTTACAAAAGAGCAGGTAAAAGACCTTACTCGTTGTTATTTACAAAAGAGCAGGTAAAAGACCTCACTCGTTATGTTATAAAAGAGCAGGTAAAAGACCTCACTCGTTGTTATGTTACAAAAGAGCAGGTAAAAGACCTTACTCATTGTTATGTTACAAAAGAGCAGGTAAAAGACCTCACTCGTTGTTATTTTACAAAAGAGCAGGTAAAAGACCTCACTCATTGTTATGTTACAAAAGAGCAGGTAAAAGACCTCACTCGTTGTTATTTTACAAAAGAGCAGGTAAAAGACCTCACTCGTTGTTATTTTACAAAAGAGCAGGTAAAAGACCTCACTCGTTGTTATGTTACAAAGGCGCAGGTAAAAGATCTTACTCATTGTTATGTTACAAAAGAGCAGGTAAAAGACCTTACTTGTTATATTATCTACAAAGATCTAACATTAATTCATCATGAGCACAGCATTTAGCATACAGTAGTTACATTTTTGTATGTGTTGTTTTGAAAAAGCGTTTTTGTTGGTTAGAACAAGAAACCAACAACCGCTGCATATTTTCCTACGTTGATATCAATTTTAATAGTTTAGGTATTCTCTCATAAAAGTGTTAAGTGTACATGTACAGTATATTTGTAATAAATACACAAAAGCATGCAAACCACCTTCAGTTGGTTCATTGTTTTCCTTTGTCTAGTCGTACCTCTTACCACATGTTTTATATGCATGAGTACTTTCTTCTTTTTAAAATTTAACCTTTTTCTTCTAGTTTCTTTACCACGCTTGGATCACAGACCCTAAAGCTGCACTAAGAGCACGAGGCAAAGAGAAACGCAAGTTCTGGAAAAAATACACAAAAGGAGTCAGACGCAGAAAAAGCAAGAAAGAAGGTAAGTAAATTCTAAAGACAAAAAACTCACATTAAACTGAGTGAAGGACTAGTTAGGTGTGAGAATGACTTTGAATGAACCACATTGAGGTGTCTTTACTGTCCTGCAGCAGGTCATGTAACCGTAGACCTTGGAGAGCTCTCAGATGGGGGAGAAAAAGAAGAGGAAAACAAGAAGACTGGTGGTCCAGGTTGGTTTCTTTAGAAGAAATGTGTTTTATTACATCTTGAAATAAAGGCAAATTACTTTATTTTGTGCCATAAAGTTTATCTCTTTAAGTTTTAACAAGCTTTAAAATGCACAAAAGATACTAAATAACTGACATACTAGATTTAGTTTTTACCCATGTTTGGGCTGTCAGAGAGGGGAACTAATTACAGATTTTAAGAATCCTTTAATCAAAAGTCATTATCCTAAAAATATAAATGTCTTCTATTTTCCTAAACCTAGAAGCTACTGATTCGCCTTTCTGTCGAAATTAAATTCTGGTGTTGGGAAGGATACTTTTTCGGGAAAGTGATGGGGAAATTTCAGAAACTTCCAAATAAAATGAGGAAAAATGATGACATTAACAATTAGATTTTTATTTGCCTGTATTTTATTTTATCATTAGTATGTTTTTGTTAATTCATGTTATGTTGCATATTTTGTTTTACATATTAATATAAAAATCATCTAATTTCAGCTCCAATAAGAGACACTCATTTGAATGCGCTATAGTACGCCCTGAAAAGTAAAATTACGGTAACCTAACCGCTATGTGTTGCATTCCTTCCTTAGACAACATCATCAAGCGAGTGTTCAACATCATCAAGTTCACCTGGGTGCTCTTCCAAACGGCAGTGGAAAGCTTCACTAGGTGGATGAATGACATGTGCAGGGAGTACATCGACATCTCCACTGTGCTGCGTATAGAGCGCTGCATGCTGACTAGGGAGGTCAAAAAGGTACCAAGAATATGGAAAAAGTTGTTTTGAAGGAAGTTTTTAAATCTTAAAATATATAAATATATATAAGTTAATAACTGATACGGACCTTTAGTGATAAAAGGAGAAAGTGTAGATGAATACTTTTTTTGTACCACCAGGGTAACGTGCCGTCCAGAGAGAGCATCCATGTCTACTACCAGAAAGCCATGAGGCTCAACATGTCCAGGCAGGCCAGCATGGACATACTCAGTGAGGATGAGTCAGTCTCTGGATCCACCAGGGTCAAAAGAAGGCGAGGAAACTACCGCATGGAGAGCCAGGACTCCACGGCCTCCAGAGACAGCATATCCAGGTACACACATACACCTGATGGTGGTCATCAGCAATGCAACATGGGAGAACACATGAGAGAGAGCCTAAATAATGTGGCTTCATGACATCTTCATCGCTGAACTTCAAAAGTGGTATAAAAAAAAAACCTAACTGGGCATGAATAACACTTTTTTAAAGGGCTTAAAATTAAGAAATTGTGACATAGGTATTTGAAGCATGTACTTTTAAGTAAGACAATTATGTTGAAAATATCTTTTTTTATATGTCAGGACTATGCACCCACATAATTTAGGGTTGAAACATGTTTATAACACGTCCAGCCATGTATTTGTAGTTTTTCAGGTTCAAAAGTCATTGTTTACATTGAGTAATTGTTCATTGTCCGGGAGGACGTGCTGTATACATAATCTGTAAAACATGAGTTATCAAGAAGCAGTGGTATTAACAGAAGCAGAACAAATGTATATCATGTGCTTTAAGCTTCACATGATGATTGGTTCTCCAAAATCAGTTAAAAACACATGATCTTAAATACCTCTTGAACATTTGAACATGCTAGTAGATAGTTTTGGTGTTATCTGTTCAGGTTTTAAGAATTGACAAAAAAAACATTTACAATACAACTTTCATTAGGACTCTCTGCAGAGGACAGAAGACAAAACAGAACGTTGATAAAATCTTTATCCAGGGTAACTGGGACATTGTTTCTGGAATATGAAGTCGCTCTTTTTTTAAATCGCGTATAAAACCATAGTCTCCATGGATAGATATGAATAGAGGTAAAATAGAAAAACCTTTTTTTGTGATTAATTAAATCTGTAAAGGTGTTACTCAGTCAATATCATGTGGTCATTGTTATATTGAGACATCCCCATTCTTTGCTTCATCTCATGTTTATTATGATCCTGTGCCGATGGAAACCAGATCATGATTCCCCTGTTTTTTAGTTTTTTTTTAAAGTTGGGCTGGAAGCCTTTATGACACTGTGTGCAGGGAATCCCTTATCTGCGTAACCTAACTTAGATCCCATCTCATCCTTCTCATTACTGATGATCTCATCTGTCACTCTCACCAACCTCTCAGTGCCTTGACTGAGGCAACCACTTTGTTTTCTCGCCAATCCACGCTGGAAGACCTGGATGGGATGCCAGAGTGCATTCCTAAAACCAGCGAGCGGGCCAGGCCCAAACTGCGTAAGATGTACGGCCTGGACGTGTCCAATTCATCCGTGGACAGCTGCAGCAGCTTCGTGTCCAGGTGCCTGGCCTCAGCTTCACCCATACACACACCTATCATCAAATATGTTTACATGCACAAATATAACTATTTCACAAAATGCTGCATCTGGAATACGACGCTATTCTACAAGCAGAATATGCTGTTTATATAACCTGTGGCATATTGCCAACATTCAGAATAACAGTGGTTAGTTTGTGCACATGCAAACATATTCACTGTCACTCCCATTGCATCTCATGACTTTTGTTTTCATCAAACAATTTTCTAGATTTCATCATTGCATGACCTTCCTAGAACCTATTTTTTATAGACCTCATCCCTGACAAAACACAGGGAACAGAAAACAGAAATATATGACCCTATAACCCTAACCCATTTGTATCCAATAACATCCATATGTAAAGCAAACGAAATATATATATATATTTTTTTTTTTATGGAGACGTACTGTGACATACTGGCTGGTTTGCCAATGAATTCTCCCTTAAACCCTCTATAAAGTTTCAGTCTGTAACCATTAATACAAGGCTTATAACACATTATGAAGAAAGTGTAAGCCGATATTGTTATGAATATGATATTACTGATGACAATTTTTGAACATTAATAAAAACAATACATGTTTATATTTCTGCCTTAAGCTAAATTTCAGTGTGTTACGAACCATTTGTTAGCGTTTTGTTTATTCTGCTTATCCATATTTGGTTTAATTTTATTAAAGTGAAAATGTATGCCTTTAAAATATGGCTAGCGTGTGACATAAATATCCAGTTTCCATTTAAATTTATTCAATCTAATAAATATTCTGAAGTTTTAATAAACACAGGTTCATGTTCCCTGAAATTAGCAGGGTTGCAGATAATTTGTTGTTATGTATCCGTCCATCTTAGTGGGCAGACTTGAACGCGGCTTGACACAATCCTTTCTGGTTTTGTCCCCTCCAGTGAGGCGACCCAGTCCGTCATGATCTACTCCAGACAGGGCACCACAGACACCATAGAAGAAGTGGAGGATGAGCAGGATCAAGGGGAGGACAGGCAGCAGGTTCCCTGGGAATCCCAACAGCTAGACGAGAGCGAGGGGGCCGAGGGAGGTCCCTGGAGTGATGGAGAACCCAGAGAGAGAGAAGAAGAAGAAGAGGAGGAGGGAATTGAGCGATGCGAGGGTGAGGCGGATGAGGGCCAGGAGGGACCAGAGGGTGAGGGCCAGGAGGGACCAGAGGGTGAGGGCCAGGAGGGACCAGAGGGTGAGGAGGGACTAGAGGTACCAAGTGACCAGGGGAGCAAAGAGAGAGAAGAGGCTTTCTGGGAGTCCTTTGGCCCAGATGAGGGCCCCTCCCTCAGGCAGGAGGAGGTAGACTCTGCCCCTTCTGGCCACGAGAAAGACTTCATCACTGAGAGTGAGGATGGGGGAGGACAGCAGGACTTCATGCACACAGAGGGGCGGGGCGGACTTCTCTACACACCTGACACAGATGCTTCCAAAATATCTGACGCTGACGTTCCTCCCAGCTACAGCAAGGCGGTCAGCTTTGACCGGCTGGAAGTCAGCGATGACGAGAGTGACATGGACAGGAGGAGGCGTATGGTGATGACGTCTGACAGCCGCTCAGACAGCAGGTCAGACATCATGCTGCCCTCCATGACAACTGAGCTGACCGCCAGTGAACTTCTGCTCAACAAGTAAGTCCAAACGCAACCAGGGTAAGGGAATCAGAATGAACATACGTCACAATAAGTGTTCATGATTGGTTAAGATTTGTAAGGATTTCCATCATAACTTTGCATTTAAATTATACGTTAATATGTTATATTACAAACAAAAAAGAAACATTTTCCCAGCCTCAATATATGGTAAAACCCTGATGTGATGGTAGGTATGTTAACCTTAATGAATTAAAAATGGGTTCATTGTAAAATATTGTCCTCAGTGAAATGTGATATTCAAACAACTGTGTTTAGATATGTAAATAAATTTAAGAAGGTGAGACCCCAGGAACATTACTTAGTATGTCTTTTCTTTATTTATACTTTCTGTCTCTCTTTGGAGCTTTTTGTGTTTCATTCAAGTTGTGGTCCTTCTTAGTCCTGTTAGAGTTGTTTTGTATAGTAGGTTGTTTTGCACTCTTAGTTTTCTACTTGCATATCTTTGTAGTTGTTTTGTTTCATTGTTTTAGTGCTGCATTTCTTTGTTGTTGTTTTAAGTATTTCAAAAGTATTTCATTATCATTTGGCATTTCTCTGTAGTTATTTTGTATCTTGTGGTTGTTCTGTGTCTCTTTGTAATCATTTTGAGTCTCCTTTATAATCAAAGCAAACTTAAGAAACAATTTGTTTGGTCAAAAAATCAAAAAATTCAAGTGAAATCGGTCTGTTTCCTCCAGGATGTTTTATGACGAGGAGCTGGACAGCTCAGATAGATTCTACCAGAAGCAGCCTCTGATCCTCCAGCTCGGCTACGCCCTCTACAACATGTTGGTGGCTCACTCAGAGATGGTGTGCTACCTGGTCATCATCATCAACCACATGGTGTCGGCCTCCTGCGCCACCCTGGTCCTTCCCATCACCATCTTCCTGTGGGCCATGTTGTCAGTGCCTCGACCGAGCAAGCGCTACTGGATGACTGCCATCATCTACACTGAGGTACAGACTGAAACCAAGATGTCCTTTACAGTTATATCAACAAAAAAAATCAAATGTGTCGGGGAAAAAAAGTTAAAATGAGCACAAACAGCTTTCGATAAATTATTCGTTTTTAACACTCTTTGATAAGAACATCAATCTGATAAATATAAATAACTTATTGCATGAAGACATTTCAACAGTTTTTAAAATCAAAATCAAAGAAAAAAAAGAGCCAGCCATCTTGGCCCTATGTTTTTGTGTAGCATGTCTCCTAATAACAGTAACTTCATCCCGGGATAAATACCACAAGCTGCTAAACTGTTTCGAGTTCTTATTACAGCAATGACAATAAAGATATATTCTATTCTAATTCGAATAAAGTATACATAATGAAAGAAAACAAACGACTGCTCTGAAGTAGGCCGACACGATTAGAGAAAATATACAATGGGCCAGTGCATTGTTTAATATTGTGATAACAATGAGGATCAATAAATAGACAAAAGTTAAAGAGTATATATATATATAAGTTATAACTCACAGTTTTTATGTCTGTCTGCTGGTCTTCATGTTTCACTTTAATACACAATAAATCAAAAAGCTTTCTTTTTTCACCAGCTAAATTATAATTAGGTTAGATACAGTGTGTACATGCTGGATGAGACGGCATTGCTCGTTTCCATTAGATAATTTTTGTTATTTATTGAGATCAATTCCGTCTTTTGCGATGTGTTTATTGCGAGTGCTCATATCGTGATAATGATGAAATGGTGATTAACTGTGCAGCCCTACTCTGAAGTCTAGGACCAGGAATGTAATATCATTGATTTTTATACTGCAGTGCTGCTTCTTCTGTTTCTTTGTGAAGTTCTGTCACAGTCCTGGCAGCTGTACTTACTTTCACTTTGTTCCCCTCCAGGTAACAATCTTCATCAAGTACTTCTGCCAGTTTGGCTTCTTCCCCTTTAACCAAAACAAGGTCGACAAAAATAAACCATATCACCCTCCAAACATCATCGGTGTGGAGAAGAAAGACGGTTACGTCCACTTTGACCTGGTCCAGTTACTGGCTCTTTTCTTCCACAGATCCATTCTGAAGGTAACTGCAAACAGACAAACCCCGACAGCTCTAACATATCGCTCACATCTGTCCTCTGCAGGTTCCCACACTTATACTGGAACTGTATGAGCGCCTGCAATACGCACAAGCTCTCTAAATAATATATCACAGAGTACGGTCTACAGTAGATCTCTTTTTGTGAGATTGAGACAACATTTGTTAGGAATTAGCGCTGCACAAATAAAGATTGATTGATAAAGGTTGATTGACATGCCTGGTAATTATATCTCTAATTGTTTACACGTAATATTGTTGCTGTCTAATGCTTTTTTGCACATCATGTTGTAATGTGTGGCTTCACTATTTTTGTTAAAACTGTTATGTTTTACATTTTTTTGTAATTATTTTGTATTGTTGTCTTGCACATCAGTATAATGATGATAAGAGTTTGTATGTGTACTTGTTGTCCTGTTATGGACAAACACATGTTTTGACAAATGTTTGCATGCAACAAGAAGATTATTTTAAACAAATATGACACAGACTAAACATTCCTGCTGTTTTCCACCTCTTCCTATTTCCAGTGCCATGGTCTGTGGGACGAGGACGACCCGAAACTGAAGAGAGAGCAGTCTCGACAGAGTGAGTCAGAGGACGAGGGAAAAGACAAGGGGGAGAGTGATAAGGGGTCCGAACCGGCATCCTCGCTGTTCAATGAAAGTAGAAGCTCCACTCACACTTTGAGATCCATGAACTTCGGGACGTCCATCGATTCAGGACAGATCCAGATGCATTACCCGCAGCAGCAGACCTACCAGCGTCGCAAGAGCTCCAGCGGAGGCTCACACATTTCAGTACGATCGCTCCACTCCTCGGCAAGGTCCAAAAGAGGTAAAGGTCCTACTTTATTTAATCCCCATCAAAATGCTTATTGATATTAGAGATATTTTAACCACAAGCAGAACAAACGAATGAGTGCCATCTACCAAAAGCACCCACTGACAATAAAATAAAAAACTTCTCAGACACAAAGCCATCTTCTGTACAAACATTAAACCAAAACAAGTGAAAAATGAAGGGGGGCAGTGGTCTTTATGAAGTCGATTTCAATTTGAACATGATGTCCATCAGAGATGACTAATTCTTCATTTTCATCGTCTGATCATTGAAGACAATTCATTAAGGCAGTAGTAAACAATCCCTTTATCGTTTGAAACATTTTGCTGTTTCTTCTTTACGTATGTAGGCCATTCTCTCCAAAGGAAAGTCATTAGCACCTAAATCCTGACCCAGTGTGTAGCACTTGGATTTTTGGTCTTTTTTTATATATATTCTAATTGATCTTTTGGCGTGCAGGAGACACATATTTAGCATTTTGAGTTCACTTTAAGTTAAACTTAAATTTTTTGATGAAGTCCTAAAATATAAATCCCAGTATCTATGTGTCTTAAATCATGAATGTCTTGTTTTATTTCCTGCTGATGGCTGAACTAGTTTTAAAACATGACTGATAAGGTCTACAACAAATACTAGAGTCTTAAAAGAAAAGTTCTGAGAGTGAGTCATTGTCCAACTCATTACTTCCTGATATCCTGGGTTGTCCAGCCTTCACCCGTGGCTCAGCTCTCTGTGTTTGTGTTTGTGTATCTGAAGCTGTGTCTTTGACTCGGTGCTTGCTTTGTCATGCTTCCTTTACAACTGGAAATGTCAATGGTTTCCACAGGGAGTACGGCTTCCCACAACAGCAGCCGCAAGGAGGGCAGCGTGGCCAGTGTGCACCTGAAGACACGCAAGCAGATGATCATGGAGAAGCTGAGGGAGCAGCTCTTCAAAGGAAAAGCGTTTGTCTTAAAGAGGTAGGATGACGCAGACAGTGAGGGTTCGTGATAAGTCTCCTCATCTCCTCCAAATGATGCTTTCTAGTCAACACAGGGATCTGATGAGACCAGTGCTTAAAAAGCATCCTGGACCAATAATAGAAGATTCTCTGTGGGATATTTATATCAGTGATGCAGTTGCTGAAACCTTTCAAAGGTCTAAATTTAGAGCTTTAATTACAGCGTTCCCGTTAGACCATTTTTGTAAGTGCTGTTATTGTTATTGTTCTTAATTTCATCACAGTGGAACCGCTGGTTTCTGAGAAAGAATGTCGAGAACACACAGAGAAGATTCTTCATTCAATTAATCGAGATATAAGTTTAAGCCGATTTGCCTGAAACTGGCAAGTGTTTGTTCAACCTTTTTATTTTAACTTTCAAATCTCTGACCTTTATCAAGAATGTCCTGACTCAGAGAGGAAACATGGACCATGAGTTACAATCACAACGTTTTAAAAAAGGTGAAGAAGCCTAAATCTGGTGTGAACCATGAAAATGACCAACACAGGTCAGACACAATAAATACATGAGTGTTACATCATCACAAACAAAACGACTTGTATTTGAGCAAAGGGCTTCATGATTGAAGCCAACACGGTAATCACCATCAATCAATACAAACAGTTCTTTGTGAACTTTGATGATTAAACACAATTATTTATTAGCTTTAAAGACGTTTTTTTGTCATTGTTCTCTGACATTTAAATGACACAGTAACGTGCTCGGTCTGATGTGCAATAGTTTTTAGATGGAGCATGTATTTTTGTGAGTGGTGTTATTGTTCTTAACTTAATCAGTGGAACCTGTTATTCTTTTTTTTAAACTACATGTCTATATCACAAGTTAGTTTAATCGTGAGAAGAGCAAAATCGTGGACGCGATTCATATTTGATTACCTGTGCAGCTCTGTTTCAGCAGAAAAGACTTGAATTCTTAAAAGAGATGGTGGTAGGTACTGGTATACGGTTCATTACGTGTGGCTTTGAGGCTGCTGGGAATCAATATTAGAGCTTTAGACGGGTTTTTCAGACTGCTTTATTGTCGAGGGTGACAGGAAAGTACAAACCACCTGGATCGTTTTATTTTCACTCACAATAACATTGTTTCTCTTTATGTTTTTCTTAGGTTCTTGGAGCTCTATCTCCCCATGAGGCAGTTCTTCTATAACTTGATCCATCCAGAGTACAGCGCAGTCACAGACGTCTATGTGCTGATGTTCCTCGCTGACACAGTCGACTTCATCATCATCGTGTTTGGATTCTGGGCGTTTGGTGTAGGTTTATTTTATTTTTGTTTTTATTTTCTGCTCCAAATTCCATAATCAATTGACCTTATACAGTATCGTCATTCATATTGTCCCCTCATAGAAACACTCGGCTGCAGACATCACGTCTTCTCTGTCGGAGGATCAGGTCCCGGGACCTTTCCTGGTCATGGTTCTGATCCAGTTCGGCACCATGGTGGTGGACCGGGCCCTCTACCTCAGAAAGTCTGTCATGGGCAAGGTCATCTTCCAGGTCTTCCTGCTCTTTGGCATCCACTTCTGGATGTTCTTCATCCTGCCAGGAGTCACAGAGAAGTAAGAAGTGTGTTTGTTCATGGACAGTGAGAATGATGTCTGTTGTGTTGTTCCTACATTGAAATGAGAAAATAAAACAAATGTGAATAAATGAATTGTACCTCACATAGTATCAGTAGCTAAGAGTCAAAAATGAGGTGTGTCATTCTCCTCAGAGGAAACTTTGATTAAAGAAAAAAACATGTTTATAAAATGTTTTATTAAAATCACACTATAGAAAAGTAAAGTGTATTTGACTAACTGCTTGTCAAATTATCTCAACTAACTTGATATAAACCAAATTCACCTCACAAGTCCAGATAAACGTTTTATTCCAAGATATTATGAGCATAAACAGAAGGCCTGAATAGCTTGTATTCAATTAAAAACAAACTGCCAGTGAAGAAACTAAAATGACTTGATAGGATTTCTTGAAACAAGATTTTAATCAGCTTTCATTTCAGTCCTTATATTTTACTTGTAATATCTTCAAATAAGTGGTTGTATCTGGACTTGTTAGGTGAATGTGGCTTTATAAAGTATGATTATAGCGCCAGATTTTTTGTTTTGTTTTACAGTGAAATTACATTTTGAATGTAGCAGCTAGCTTTTGTTTGTAAAACCAGAAACATTGAATATTTATGATTCTTTGAGCTGCCAGTAATTAAAAAAAAAAAAGAACATAGCTACCTTATTCTTTAATTGTTACATCTGTCTCACTGCTCTTTTCTTCACAGGCGTTTCAGCGAGAACAGAGTGGCTCAGATGTGGTATTTTGTCAAGTGCATCTACTTCGCCCTGTCGGCCTATCAGATCCGCTGTGGTTATCCCACTCGAGTTTTGGGAAACTTCCTCACAAAGAGCTACAATTATATGAACCTCTTCCTCTTTCAAGGGTGAGTTGTGCCTGGAAAGAATAATGTGTTCCAGCTGGACAAACCAGTCCAAGGTTCTGGTCACTTCAGGGCTCGACAACTAACTGCTGTTGTAAGATTAGGAAACAGTTTGTGGTTTTAAAAATCTAAATCAAAGCTAGTTATGTGAAAGGACATCAACATTTCTAATCTTAGTGGAAGTGTTTTGTCTTTTTGTGGAAGCACCATTTATATATGCTAGTGTTCAGCTCTCTATTTCATGTCTATATGATCACTCACTTTTAACTTTCCCAAAGTTGTCAAGCAGAAATCTTTGTATTGTGTTAATTTAACATTTCTCAACTCAGATTAACTTTATTAACAGAACATTTTAGACACCTGCAGGAAGCTTAATATGTTTAATTGAATTATAGGCAATAAAAAACTATAATTAGTTTTATCCCAAGGCATGCTCAGTGTCATTTTTAGTTAATGAACATCACAGCAGAGTGTGTTTTTTCTCTGTTCTTGAACTTCTCCACACTGTTTTCATACTAGAGGTCAACCCACGCAGCAGTGTGTATGGTGTTAAATTAGATGTAACATTTGTAGTTAAAAAAAAAAAAAAACCTGGGAAAACGCAGTTGTGGCTTTATTAAATCACAATGTGAAATCATGATTAAAGTGTGTTCTTCTTTTCGCCAAAACTAAGAAAATGATGAGCACAATATTTTGATGTAGTAATAAGATTGTAATTCAGTATACTCTTTTGACAGAATAAGAGAGCTTTGTATTTTGTTCCTAGTTTTCGCCTGGTGCCGTTCCTGACGGAGCTGCGAGCAGTGATGGACTGGGTTTGGACGGATACCTCGTTGTCTCTGTCCAGCTGGATCTGTGTGGAGGACATCTACGCTCACATCTTTATCCTGAAATGCTGGAGAGAGTCTGAGAAGGTGTTTTTCATATGTGGCATCAGGAATCAGTCTCAAAGCCAAACACTGTCATGTTGGAATTCATGCTGAAATTTACTTTTGTAATTTGTTGAAGTAAATCTTCTTTTTTTCTAAGTTGTGAAGTTTCAATTCAGATCTGGATTCAAAGAAATGTCACTTTAGAAAATAAGTATATATCAGATAAATATTATATAAAGACACATGTTTCACGAGTCAGTGAACAACCCTTTATCAACTGACCGGCAGTATGTCAGCCACAGCTTTTGCTAAAAGGTGTAAAAAAAACCCAGCACAAAGCCATTAAATATCTGACAAACAACATCTGCAACATCCAACATCTGTTCTAATGGTCATTGACTTTGAATGTGGTGCTGTCATTGGGTGTCACCTTTAACCAAAGTTCAATCTTGTTAAACAAGTAACGATGGAGCATTATTTTATCCTGGAAAAAAATCTAATTTGTGTGAAAAATAAATGAATTTAGTCAACTTGGATCATCTTTGATTCTGAGTCTTCTACAGAACTGTGCACATAAAGAAACTTCTTTTTTTTTTTTTTATATATACCAATGTGTTCTTTTTTTTGTTGATATTGTGAACATGTCTGATCACATATAGCATTGATTTAAAACAAAACCTGTCATCATGAAAATTCCCCCAAAATCTTGTGGAAAGCCTTTCCAGGATATTTTAGGTGTGATGGCTGTTCACTGACTTTTGGTAGTGAAACATAAACTGTCTGTGTTTCCCGAATATTTAATACACTCTTACAATCACTCCTGTGGGAAGGATTTTCTTTTTTCATCCTCACTTAATATTTTTGTTGCATCTCTCTGCAGAGGTACCCCCAGCCGCGAGGTCAGAAGAAGAAGAAGGTGGTGAAGTATGGGATGGGAGGGATGATTGTGGCGCTGCTGATCTGTATCGTCTGGTTCCCGCTTCTCTTCATGTCCCTCGTTAAGTCAGTAGCCGGAGTCGTCAACCCACCAATGGATGTCTCTTTTGAAATCACCCTGGCTGGCTTTCAGGTAGGGACACACTTTCTTTTATCTGAGCCAAAATAAGCTTGCCAAGTTCCTGTCAGAGAAACAAAGCTACGAAAAAAAACAACAGACCAGAGAGATGCTCTGCCAAAAAATTGATGCTTAAGAAATTCTATGAAATTGTGTCTTCCTTAAGCATCAAGTAAATCTCAATGAAGTAAAGAAATCTGTGATTGATCCCAAAGTAATGCCATGTCCTTTTATGCATGTTTAAAAGAAGCCATGTGTTGATTGTCTGGGACAGCTTCAAAGCAATTCAACATAAAGACATCTCTTTCCAAAAAAAAAGACAAAAGTACCTTAATGTTGAACCTCAAATAATCATTGAGAAATATTGAGTTTGCAGCCTGAAAAAGACTTTTGCCAACTTACCAATGATATCCTCTTCTTGCAGCCCATCTTCACCATGAGCGCTCAACAAAAACAACTGCACAGTGTGACTCCACAGCAATTTCGTGATTTTGTGGACAAATACAAAAAACATGCTGTAAGTACAAGGAATAGATTGCATTTGTTCTGCTCTATAAGATTAAATAAATCAGAGTTCACTTCGATTATAAAAAAAGTGCAGTGAATAACATGAATACCCCGCTGAGATGATTCTTCACTTGTCATGTTGAGGATGTAGTTTGTTTATGTTGGTTGACTGTGACGAGCTAAATGCTAATGCTAACATACAGGTTATTTTTGCAACAGAATATCAGGGCCACAAAAAAAGACAAAAGAATCAGAGATCTTCATGCCATTCTAGATTTAACACAAAACCACTTCACCTGTTGTTGGCTCTGGAGGAGAAGTGAAGGGAGAAGGGACCCCTAAAAGTAATTCACTGTACCCTCTCAGGACCAAGAATGTATGTGAATGCTGCTTTGAGAATCAAAGCAGGGGTAGTGCCCCTCATCTTTAAATAAAAGTATACATTTTAAATACTAACATCTGTGTCATGGCTTGATGAAAGTGTATCATGTTGTGTCCCTTCTCTTGGGTGTTGTCCCGGTGTTAGGCAACTTTGGAGTGGCTGGAGGGTTACGTGTCAGATGACCTGATCATCGCAGAGCTCAAAGGCAGCTCCAACTCTCTGTGGACCATCAGTCCACCCAGCAGATACAGCCTGATAGAAATGTTGAATATATCGGAGGCTTTCTCCATCACCGTGTCCTGGTCTGTGCAGAGGTAACAAAATGTTAACACATATCCCTTCTTACTTACCCACTGCTTTAGTGATGATGCTCATGTTAGAAAGGCCCAGAAGGTTTAACAATTTAGTCTCACAACACAGTTACGCTAGAAAGAGGAACATATAATCCTGTATGATGCAATACTGTGGATGAAAGTATTTAATATATGCACAACTTGAAACAGCTATAGCTACAAAAGACAACACAGCGGTTATATTCATCCAATAACATCACATGAAATAATAAAGAATTGACGCAGACTGGTTTTGGTGCACAAGAAGTGCTTTCACTTTGATTCTTTGGGAAAAGTTTGTATTTCAAACATACTTCTACTGTAGTACAGATTTAAAAGCAGAGTTGACCTCGTGAGTTGATGTTGTGAAAGGCTGCAGTTCAATGAGGGGATTTTTTATATATATATATATATATATATATATGTATATATATATTTTTTTTTTTTTTTTTTTTTTTTTGTGATTACAGAAACCTCACGTTTGGTGCCAAGGCTGAAACAGCGTCTGGGAAACGAGTGACTTTCCTGGACAACTCAACAAGGGAAAATCTGATAAGTCTCCTCATTGGGAAAGCAGTCAATGGTTCTATGTGAGTACACTTATGGCTGACTGTCTTCTTTAGACTTCGTCTCTATGATGTGATAATCCATAATCTGAATCTCTTAACAAATGTTTTTTATTTTTTTAAGCATCTCCATTTGATAACAGAAAAAGTACTGTGTGAATGAAAAAAACATATAATGTATACCTCTACTGTATGTCAGAAAAAAACTATATTAATATGACTTAAGCATTTTTACCTCAATTCAGAGACATTTTCAACGCATAAAAACACTTTTCTTTGACCAGTGTATGTATCCAGCTTGGCTAGAGAGGTGTGGGTGGTTAGCGGGAGATGTGAGATGTGAGATGGGACAGTGGATCAAATCAGCACCGGGGAGATAGAGAGAGTGGGGAATGACATGCAAGTAAGGGGCCACAGGTGGTATTCCAACGTGGGCCGCCAGCTTCAAGGACAACAGCCTCTGTTTGTGGGATGTGTGAACTAACCACTTGCCCACCAGAGCCCCCATTGATATCTACCAATATGATTTAAATTGAGATGTCAACTCTGTGGTGTATTTATTCCATCTAAAACCCAAACAGACTTTTGTTCAGCTGACTTGTCAATCACAGGAAGTCACACCCCTCAGCATAACCTACTTTGACTGTTTTAATCCACATGAGGCCATTATTTCACAAACAAGCAGTTCTGCTGTGAAGAAGACTTGTTAGCAACCATACACTGATTTGGAAAAGGTTTAATTGAGATAATAAATGAAGTAAAATGTGTCGGGTCTCTAACATAGACTTTTATATTATCAGACCAAGTATCCCCCTTGTGGCCATTAAGAAGAATGCAGGCTTAATGATTTTAAGCATTGGCCTCACCATTAATATCCAAAGAGTTCAACTTCTTAATTCAGTCTGTGGTGTAGAATTGAGACTCAAATGAAATTCAGTTTTTCAGTCTTCGATCCAAAGTTTAGAGATAAGACTTTTATTTATGAAACATTATAAGAAAAACTTAAATCATTTAGAAGAAGAAGACACACTTGATTCATTCTTGAGAGAGAAAGTCAGTTTGGTTGACTCAGTTATTGGACACGCTACACACACACATAGGCCCGGGAACACACACACATGCACAAAGAGGATCCCATAGACATGCACTAAGGGAGAGATGTCAGAACGAGGGGGCCGCACATGGACGAGCGCCTGAGCAGTTGGGGCTTCTCTGCTTTGCCCAAGGTCACCATGGCAGTGCTCAGGAAATGAACTGGCACCTCTGCAGCATCAAGTCCTTAAATCCATACTTTGATGCTTTCCTGTGACTTAATAATTCAATGTATGATAAACTGGATGACATTTAACATGAGCTCTTCAGTAAACCCTGATATGAAATCCTCAGTGTTTCAACAAAACATGTTTTGTATCTCTCTTCTCTACCTTTGCACTGAAGTATTGTGAATGCATGTCTCTTTTTCTGCAGGATTATAGAGGATATCTTCCCTCGTTATATTCGAGCCCCCAGTGACTCAGAGGCCAAGCCTGTTGATCTGCTTAATAAAGGTGAACGTCATCATCTTCATCAGTAGAAAAACCTGATTGCATAGTTACGTGTTAAAACACATTTTTCTGGATTCTCTAGCAATAGTTTAATAGGAGTCTTCTTTCTATATTCATTACATGTTAGGATATTTATTTAAAGCCACTAAGTTTAGAATATTTAAAAACATTTTTTATTATAAACATAATTCTGACATGTTTTGCATTTTAATCCGTTCTGCTATAATACTTTTTCTTCTTCTATTTGACATCTTTGTAGCTGCCGATGGAGGTAAGATCTTTAACATCAACTTGACCCTGATGCAAACTAAGAATATCAAAGGTGCGGTCCAGGAATGGTGGAAGGTCAACCAGACAGAGGCGGGCCACATAAACTATTCTGAGGGCAAAAAGGATGGAGAAGGTCTGGATGTCTATGTATTCAGTGACCAAGTCAGCCCGCCCAGTTTGGGCTTCCTGGCTGGATATGGGTACGTATGAACATTTTGGATTAAAAGAATGTCAGTGAAGTTTCTGCATTTACATAATGAAAAAGTTTTATATTTCAGTCACTAAATGTGCTGTCCTCCTGACTGTGCAGCCAGTGAAGATGTAAAGGTTTGGGGATTATTTAACTTAATTAATCCCTTTACCTGTGGCTGTGGCTCAGTTGGTAGAGTCGGGAGGTTCGACCCCCAGCTCCTGCAGCCACGTCCGATGTGTCCTTGGGCAAGACACTTAACCCCAAGTTGCTCCCGCTGCTCCGTCGGCGACATTAGTGTATGAATGGATTACTGTACTTAGTTCTGATGGTCACTTCACGTCGAATGTGTCGGTGTGATGTGTGATATAAAAGCGCTTAGAGTAGGTAAATAAGCGCTATACAAGCAAGAAACTGTACTCATTCAAAGTGTTCTCATCCTTGTGTTTGCTTGTCCTTTTTTTGTTAAATTTGTATGTTCAAAAATACAAATATAACAACTTCAATTTTTACAAAACTGCAAGCTCTGTTGTTATTTGGCAAGTACATATACTGTATTTAGACTCAGTGTAAAAGTTTCACAGGCTGTGGCGCTGGTGGCGCAGTGGTCAGTTCGTGCACCCCATGTATGGAGGCTATAGTCCTCCAAGCAGGCGGCCCAGGTTCAAATCCAGCCTGTAGCTCATTTCCCGCATGTCATTCCACTCTCTCTCTCTCCCCGATTTCCGACTCTGTCCACTGTCCTATCTCTCCATTAAAGGCACAAAAAGCCCAAAAATAAATCTTTAAAAAAAGGTTCACAAGCTTAAAACGTTAGCGTCAAGATCAACACTAGTAATACCAAAATCTGTATGTTTGGAGGGATTTTGATACCAATAGATGTCTGGATTATGACCAATTAATTTTTATCCGGATTTTTGAATAGGATGGGAATGCAGGGTAACTCTGCACCAAAGACATGTGTTGTATCTGCTGTAGTAGTAGCTTATATGAAGCCAAATCAAAGAACACTTGTATGATTTCTTGCGAGTCAACTACATGTTCTCTAACTTCCTGTCTCTCTTTCCTGTCCAGGATCATGGGTCTGTACGCCTCTGTGGTTCTGGTCATCGGCAAGTTTGTGCGCGAGTTCTTCAGCGGCATCTCCCACACCATCATGTTCGAGGAGCTGCCCAACGTGGACCGCATCCTCAAGCTGTGCATGGACATCTTCCTGGTCCGAGAGACGGGGGAGCTGGACCTGGAGGAGGACATGTACGCCAAACTCATTTTCCTCTACCGCTCGCCAGAGACTATGATCAAGTGGACCCGGGAAAAAACTGAGTAAAACTCAGAGAGGGGAAATAACCAGTGAAAATGAGGCGGGAGGTTTTTTTCATACAGGAGCTCTGCTGGTGTGAGCAGCAGCCGGTTCACCTGCTGAGGACGCACAAAGCAGCTGGGGACCAACTCTGTCCTCCTCCACTGAGCTCTGGTGGCAGTGAGACATCTTTGGCTCCACATGAATACACTTTTTCGAGTTTTAAACTGATATTTTCTACTATTTACTGATGTAAACAACCACAAATGCAGTCATATTATTGTCAGTTGAGGACGAATTTGCCAGTGCTGTGTTCATCTTGCAAAACCTGGCACAGTTTGGCATCCACCGATGAAAAGACGCAGCTGGTGTTCAGAAGCAGACATATAAACTTTTTAGAAGATTTTCACAAAACATAAGAAGTCTTCTCCCTCATATAGGGACAGGTTTTTACACACAAATGTCCTCATTGCTCTATTCAATCATTTCTACAACGGCACGGCAGGCGAGGAGAAGCTCAAACTGGCTGCAACATTAATCTTTAAGGGCTTCCCATCTACAAATGAGCGCACGATAATGACCACATGAGCACAATCTCCTAAATCCCTCCAACTGGAACGTTTAGACTTTGGGGCTGTGCAATAACAAGCTTTCGCTCCTCCCAAGTTTTTTTTTTTTTTTTTTGAAGGACATGAACCGAGGTAAAAGTTTGGTTCCGACCAAGAAAGACAAAAAAAAAACCTTTTTTTAAACATCACAGGCCACTCAACGCAGAACACATTCTCGGACAGTCTTTTCTTGCCTTATTTTGTTTGTATGAGACAAACTGAAACTCTTATCAACTACATATCTTTCTCAGGAAGAGCTGTTTTCACAGATATTCATTGTATTAGTTATATGTTACAACATGTAGGCTTTGATGGATCTTAAAAAGATATTAGAAAAGATGACAACTATTTAAATGGCATGAAATTTAATGTGGATATTGTTCAGATGGACTGATATTGAGTATGTTTACTGCACAGGCTGTAGAAAGAAAGATAATGTATGGGGGATAGACTGTTTTCCCTCATAGAGATTGAGATTAAATTGCCAATTGTCTGTGTTTTAAATCATCTGCCGGTTGGCTGAGTTGAGACCAGCGGAGGGCTGAAACAGGGTACAAGGTGGAAGACTCTTGCACATCACTTGTAAACCTCTCGCTGTTTTTAACATTCTCATAAACACTGTGGCACTACCAACTTTACATTCAGTCATCAAGGGAGAAACAAGCAGACACACACAAAGAAGATTCTTCAAATGAAGGGCTGAACCAGGAAGCCCTTCGGTCCAAACTATGCATTAGAGGACATTGTAGCATGATAGAAAACTTCATTATTGTCATGATTTTCATTACATGTACATACAAAGATTAAGGGGAACAGGTCAGGGTGGAATGAAATGTGAAATTGTACCTGTATGTCAAGGCAATCTGATATGATAGAGGTCCAGAGATCTGCAAATAAAACTTCTGGAAAGGTGTGGTCTTTTGCTTTGTATCTGTTTTTTTGAAGGATTTTGATGGAAAACAGCTGACTGAACCAGGGAACCTCCAACACTGACTTCGCCAGAATCATTTCTATACCCACTGTAATGTCTATGCTACAAGACTTCCATATTTGAACGCACATCTCCAAGAGCTGACCGCTGCAAAACTGGAGAAACCCAAGACACAAGAACCCTGCTCACACACATCAGAAAGCAGGTATCCAAAATAACAGACGATGTTTTTATCAATAACTGCTCAACCTCCCAAACTGTTTGTGTCGCTATGTGGGTCTGTCTGCGTTCTTATAACACCACTTTGTGCATCACTTTTTCTTATAAATACAATTATTAACTTTTTGGGAACTGAGGAGAGCAGTTTCTGTCATTTTGAAAAGTGGAATGTTTGACCCTTCTTGACTATTGTAGCATTTCAGCTGTTCAACAGCTCAAGGTCTCCTTTGTCATGTTTTACTCTTCAAAAGGCCCCACATTTTTTTAATGGGTGACAAGTCAGAAGTGCAGGCAGGTCAAATTAGTATTCAGACATTTACTTCAGCGCCATGCTGTTGCAATATGACCAGAATGAGGTTACTCCTTCAGCATTAAAGGTGCCTTCACAAATGTGCAGGTTATCCATGCCCTATGCATTAAAGCCCCCCCACACACACACACACACTATAGATGCTGTTTTTAATTTTAAAGATTTATTTTCTGTATTTTTTTTATCCTTTAAGTGATAGGACAGTGAATAGAGTGGGAAACCGTGGAGAGAGTGGGGTATGACATGCGGGAAAGGAGCAATAGGCCAGACCTGAACCAGGGCGGTCCGGTTGGAGGACTTAACCTCCGTACATATGATAGGATCTTAACGCTAGGCACATCTGCAGCCCCGGGTGCTGGTTTTTGAACTGTGCACTGATGACTAGCTGGACGGTTCCTCTCCTCTTTAGCCCCAGAGACACCCAAGAGTGTCTAGGATTTCCAAACAGAAAGTCACATTTTGACTCATCAGCCTCAGGCCAGTTAATCTTATTAATAGAGAGATGTCCCACCTGGTTCTTTCTTTCAGCATTTCACAATGTTTCCATTCTTCAGATACCATGTCCCAGCTTTTTGGCATCGGATTCAAAACGGGCATACCATTTTCCAAAGACAATGACATTTTTCTGTTCCAACATTTGATATAGTGACTTTGTGCTATTTTCAATTAAATATAGGGTTTCAATGTTTTGCTATTTGTTCGTTACATTTTACTCAACATCCCAACTTTTTTGGAAACAGGGTTTTAAGTGGTACCTTCCTGAGGGAAATACATATCTCAGTCCTCAGCTGCCCGCCTTCAGTTAGCTTAAGTTTATCATCTAACAGCAAACAGCTAGCCTGGCCATCCTTTATACTGATCAACTCAACAAAGGAATCCTAACAAAAAACAGTTTAGCTTCTAAGATGTGAAGTGGCAACATGTATGTACGGTTTTGACCTTTCTAATACGGAGGCACATCACGGAGTCATTCAGAATAGGCAAGAATGTGTGTGCATTAAATATCACTTTGCAAGGAGAGGACATTAGCCTCTTCTGAGAAAACTTTGTCTCAGGGGAGCTGCACAATCATAAGAGGTCTTTGAGAAGCCACTTTGGTGCAGACGTCTGCAGACTGTGTTAGTCTCGCTGATACGGAAAATCTGTCTACTAACTCATTTAAGAAAATGTACATAGACTATAAAATGCCACACAATGGAAATGTTTATTGATGCATGTGCAATGTTTGAAGATATGTTTTTCGAGGAACATACAGCAAGTGGGCAACAGCACAAGTTAAAAAAAATGTAAACAATCCCTTTATAACCTAGAGACATGTTGTATCAGATTCATTTTTAATTGGCTTGTAATTGATCTCACCAAGCAGAGGATTTAAGAGCAAAGAATCTTAAATTCAGCATTTAAATGTAGTCAAGAGGGAAAATGCACTGAAAACATCACTGCATGGTCCCTTTTACAGCTTTAGTCAATTACATCTCAGGAATATACTGTGGAAACTTAAAGACACCATGATTATTTTTTAGGGTTAAGGTGGACAAACACATCGAGGTAGACAAAAAGAAATAACAGTCCCAAACCAGGAATTTTACTGTAAAATGGACTTCATTAACTTCAATAGATGCTGATGCAGGAGACCATAAAGCCAATATTAAGTAGCTTTAATGCTAAGAAATGTGTTAATTTGCATCAGATTACTGTTCAATTATTCCAAACATGCATTTACATGCTGATTGCATATATTTCGTATTTCATTTATATTTCCAAAAGGCTGAGCCATGAATACTGAAGAATAAATTAACTCTGTACAACAAACACCTTTACAACAACCCATAAGCTAAATATTTAGTACTCAGAGTGTTTTTGATTTTGATACACCTATTGCAGTTTTAGACTTAACTCACGGACAATAACAGCAGAATTTACAGCTTCACAGAGACGAAGAAATTATATTCACAAACAACAGGCTTTCATACATTATTGAACACTGAAGATCTGTGGATACAGCGAGGACCCACCTCATATAAACACAACTTAAAAGGCTGCTTAACTCAAGTCAACTCTTCTGCAACACCTATTATATTTGTTTCTAAATTATCTTTGTTTCTTAATTTTTTACAATAAAAGATCAAACAGCCACACAACACACATCTGGATTTTGTAAAGGTTTTGACTTGTTCACAGAGGGTGTCATGGTGGGGCAGGACGACACACTTGCAGGAATGAAGGCTAACATAGTCCTCCCTCGTAGTCATCCTCGTCCTCTGCAGCAGCCGGTGCCCCACCAGCGCCGCCTTGTGGAGCAGCGGCCTTCTTCTTCTTTCCTCCTCCTCCAGGTACTCGCAGGGAAATGGCCAACTTGGCATACTGTGAGGCACAAAGACATAAAATGTGTCATAAGATGTCAGGTGAAAATACATTTGCCCAGTTTTAATCCAGCGTTCTTGTATTAAATGATCATTTATCTGCCAAATATTTTTCAATAAATCATCATCTGAGTATTTCTACATAAAAAACCCCAGTATTTTCTCTTTCTGTAAAAAGTTTCAAATGTCGGTTATCCAAACGTTATGTCACACCTTCTATCTGATGATTGGCTCTATCCGGTTTGAGTTGGAAATACATCACGACACAGCAGTAAGACACGTTCCAAGTTCTGCTCCATGAGGATTTTAAAAAGAGCTTAAAAACTTAAGTTTCTCACTCAGATACTTCCCTTGTGTGTTTTTTCCACCACTACATTGACATAAATGAATCTGGTAGTGATTGAGCTTCATATGACTGCTTCTAAATTGTGTGAAAGAAAGGCCATTAAACTCCGGCCTCCATCCAACAAGTAACGTACACAAGCTGGGTGACATAGATAATTTATTTTAATATTTGTTATTAATTCATAATATTGTGATGTGTGAATTACAGGATAATAATGAAATGATGGTTAATTTTACAACCCTAACTTCATTATTTTCATTGCAAAAAAAGGAGAAAGAAATATAAATGCATTTTGATATGAAACATAAAGTGGCCGAAAGTCAACTTTCATGTCTCATATCATACCCATTTTCCTTATCTACTGTATGTTGCCAGTCTGTGAAACCTATAGAGAAGCTTTGCACGATTTGCAGCTCTAAAAAAGCCTTATTTATCTACTACCTGTCAGCCTTTGCCTGAAGCGGTTCACCACAAGAGGGCTGCTCTCCAGTGCTGGCTTAACAGCCTATGCTGGTCTACACAGAGCCCTGAAGCCGTCTCTAAAAATTCTCAGTTTCACATCAGGGAACCATTGCGTGATTTGCGGGACAAGCACTCTGCAGACTTATCCTGGGATTACCCCAACATACATTCACCTCAGGATCTGAAACTTTGCTCATGTTCAGGAAGTGCATCCAGCGTTGTGACACTAGATGTGAGTTTTAAAATAAGGATCAGCATTATAGGTCAACGTTGAATATATAAAACTGAATTACAGATGAAAGTGAAGCACACATGGTGAGATACCCTCAGCTAAATAACAGATGCTTTAATATCTACATACATATACAGCATCTGAACCACATCACAGGTCAGTACGTGTAAACAGTACTCACGTCATTGTCCATGTACTTCAGTAAAGGTGAGTTGCACACCCTGTAGACCTGGTCCTCATCTTGCTCATCGTAGCCCTGCAGTAATGTCTCCATGGCAACACAATCTTCACTTCCACTGTAGCCGGGCAGACTGATGGAGACAGAGAAGCGCTTAAAGTAATGATTGTCTGTTGTCTGTTGTTGAAGTGTAGTTTGAGGGAAGTGCCTCGCAGCTTTATTTTAACAACAGAGAAGACAGAATGTGGAAAAAAAAACAACCTACCTGTAACTTTCTCTGACGCATTTATCAGCTGCTACGTAGTCTCCACGATGAAGGTGAATCAGCACTTGAGCAGTTGTTTTCTAAAGAGTGAAATGCACACAAAAAAAACAGAGCGATATGATTATGATTATTATATGATTAGTTATTGTCCCGGTGTGAGGTTTGGGCTTTGAATGGTCCCTTAACGTCAGATGTTTCTTGCTCCATGTGACTTCAAACAAGGAGACTTACACACAAGTCCCCCACCTGATCATCACACTTTGATTCTCTTTAAGACACCAAGTATTGATACAGCCTGAAAGGGTGGCAAAATATGAACAACTTATTGAGAAACAAGCTGACAAATGGAAGAATTATACATCAAAGTTTAAAATATTATCTTACCATTATTACTGGCTTTGTAAAAATAAATGTTTCATTTGTTTGTTTGTCTCTTTCTGTCTCTCCCTCTCAAACCCGACACAGTCACAGCAGATGGCTGTTCAACATGAGTCTGGTTCTGCTCGAGGTTTCTGTCTGTTTAAAGGCTGATTTTCTTTGCCACTATGTCTTTGCTAAATGTTATAGTGCTGTACTCATGGTGGATTCATGTTGGGTCTATGGGAATATTATAACACAGATTATAGTCTAAACCTGCTCTTTTTGTCTTGATATAACATCTGTTATGAATTGGTGCTATACAAATAAAGAATGACTGATTAGGTGGTTTCTGTTTAAATGTATTCATATTCAATTTCTGTCATGCTGTTATTTTTCCTTGATCATTAGTATTAATCTGTACTCAGTTAAATCTCCTAGCAGTGCAAGGCTGAATCCTTTGTTTATGTTGGAATTTAAGAAATTGACAAAGGCAACAAAATATAAATCATGAAACAGAAACTAAACAATCAATTAATCCCACAAAAAACTACGACTGAAGAACTCCAGAATCATCCTAAAATGTATTCAAACAAATAAAAGAGTTAAACTGCTGCATTGTGTTGAATATTCCTCTCTGTACTGTATATTGATTATGTTAGGTGACACAGCATTAACAGCTCTGCATTTACACTGCTGTTGTACATCGACGAGCTGATGGGAATAAACTTAACATCCCGGGCTGCGTACCCTACAGAGGCACCACGACATGTACAACCTAAACTGGAAATGTAACTGGTTTGATTAAGATGTATAGAAAAACATTATAGCACAGAATCATGATGGGAGTAACCCACCTTGAAGCACGTGGGATAATTTTCAATCTCTTTGTACATGTTCTTTTCTTTCTGCAGAGCAGCTGCTGCGTCGTCCAACCTGATAAAAACAAGAGGACAACAGGGTAAGGATTGTTGGGGAGCAGGTTTTACAGTTTATCATTATGCATGAAAACAGATAAGCAGATTTGGGGTTGTCGTTATAGTGACAGGTGGGATCAAGTATTTGAATTCTAATATGTGAATAAGCTTTTACTAAATTGAAAGGAAAAGTGATCCCATGTGATATCAGGGTTTATTGTGTGATATAATAATTGAACATTATTAAAGGAAACTTTTTCTATTCTAACTATTTTTCAACTTGCTTTCTCTTGATAGATAAGCACAAAGACCACCCATGACAAATGTAATAATTAATTAAAAAGCACCCTGTACAGTTTTGCAGGATGTGTGAATATTGTCAGTGTCCCCTCCACCTTAACTTCTCGTCTTTACCTTCTTAACCTGACCAAAAGTCTGGAGGCTTTACCCAGCAGCTCAACTGCCTGCCGCAGGCGGTCCTCGTTCTACAGAGAGAAAATGTAAACATACATCATTAAAAAGAAATGTAATCGACATTTGGTAAAATGATAGATTCAGATTTTCAGTTTAACCTCAAAGACACCAGCTGCCTTCTGATACAAGTCCACAGCTTTCTCCAGGTTTATAGGCTCGATCAGTCTGAGAGAACAGGGGAAGGTTGTAGATTAAAGAAGAAGTTCACAAGATAAGATTTTCATCACAACTTAAAAAAGGTACAGTTAAAAAATAATAATAACAGCGTAAAGAAACAGCAAACATACTTTCCAGCCCGGTCCAGAGCCATGGCAGCAGTGTCAGGAGTCCCATTCTCCATGTACATCATACAGGCCTTCTCGATGTACTGGATGGCTTCTGGCATCTTCTTTTGCTCCTGTCGCACAGCAAACACAGCACAATTACAAATCTACTGCAGAGACATAACACACAGAGACGATCTGTTAAGTTTTTTAATCAACATTAAAGATAACACTTACCTTCATCATCATACCTGCCTGTTCAATAGCCCTGAGGAAAAGGAGGAGAGTTTGAATAAAACATGTGTTCACAGTGTGCACCTCGATCACACTAAGGTTACAACGCAGTATACTTACTTTGCAGCGTGAAAAAGCCTGCAGGACGAGTTAAGGAAATTACACAAGACTCAAAATAAAACAGTGTCATCGTCAGCTTCAAGTGCAGAAAGGATACGTCTTGTTTTCTGTGTGGTATTCAGCTTCTTTCAGGTAAGCATCCTTTGCCTGCTCGTACTGCTTCGCGTTCTTGAAGCACACAGCTGAAAAGACAATTAGACAATCAACCTGGGGACGTCTTTAAAAAGGAGGGAAGAGGATTGTTTTTATTTGTTAGTGTACCTGCTTTGGCGTATTCTGATGCAGCACTGTCAAAATCCGGCTTCCACTTCGTCATGCTGGTTTTTAAGCTGCAAAAAACATGATGACAAGCAAGTTATAACCGGCTCAAGGAAGCATAATAAGATACATTTACTGTTTATTTACAATGAACCCATTCATGCCAATTAAATCTAACTGTCGATACAAAACATTTCCATGTATGTCGCATATCCTCGAACAACCGAAATGCCACAGTGGCCTGTTTATCGTCAGCTAGCTTAACATCAGCTGTAAATCAAACCTTCCAGGGAAGGGAGGAAACGAAGTGGGTTTTTTCATCATAACTCACCATTTTTCAGCTTTAGCCATGTGCTCATGAGCTTCATTTATCTTCTGAGCAGCCATGTTGTCAACAGAGTCGTTTGGGTTTTTTTGACGAATTTTTGTGTCGATAAATAGCTGTGGATGTTGCTTTCGTCGATGTTTGGATTAGCAGGAACTCCTCCTCAGGCACGACGACGTCATCCAATGTCGCAGGGCTACGGGTGCCGACTAGGAACACAGCTGGCATAAGGGGGGAAACACTGGCTGCAGAGCATTTTTGAGGCTAATAAATAAACTTTACAAACAACCTATGACATTATTTACTACGTGACTAAGTTACAATACATAACAGTTAATTGCCAAGGGATAGAGGACTGTCAGGGAACCCCCAAAACATCGTGTGGATGAAATAATGTTATTGATATATGGCTTTAGAATATGAAGTACAAAATCACTAATTTGCAACTGACTGGTGTTAAAGTTTAAATTTGATTCTGATATTGAGGCAATGACTGGGAAACAAACTCCAGTGTCCAAGTCTTATTTTAAAACCTTTTAAAAGGTGTTTTTACACTATTGTTTCCATGAAGGAGCTTCTGTGAAATTGTAAATATAAAAATAACAGTGTAGGGTAATGAAACAATTTATATATATTTAAAAAACAAGATTTAAAAATAGTGAAGGTTATTGACAGTGGATCTATCAAGTTACGTTTCTGATACTACATTAAAAAGCGGTTCAGCTAAAGCAATATTTAAAGTCTATGACCTGAAGCTTGTGTTTACTTTATTTGGCCGTTATATTGTATAGTTTCTGCTTATAACATGTCTACACTCATGCACTTTAACTTATGTCAATACTGTCCATTTACTACTCTGTTTTTTGCACATTTACATTTAATCTTTCATATTTAATTTACAACCATTTATGACTCTGTTTTTTTTGCACATTTACATTTAATCTTCCATTTTTAAATTACAACCATTTATGACTTCCATATTTAATCTTCCTATTTAAGACTAGTAATGCTTAGTTAAATCCTGGTTGTATATATTCACATTCTTAGTTTTGATATCTTTTAGAACTTACTTACTTGTAGTTAATATTATATTGTGTTTAGATTTGCAAACATTGTGTTTTTTTACTCATATTGTGTGTTTGGATAACCTGCTGCTGTAACGCCACAATTTCCCAGTTTGGGATCAATAAAGTAATTCTGTTCTATTCTATAAGATGAAGATGATTGACAGTCACAGGTTGTTGTGTTATTATAGGACTATGTGCTACATGGCTTTGGTAAAAAAAATTGAATTTCTAAGTGTTGGTGTGGTGTGAAACCAAAACCTAAGTGTCTGCTTTAAATAAGCAAGTTATTCAAAGAGCTGCCACATTTAGTCATTACTGCTGCAGACTACAGTGAACATATTTGATTGATTAACTTCTGTAGTGGCTATTTGTCCAAAAAAACAAAAAAAAAAAACCTAAATAAACTAATATCAAAAATAATCAAATGGCCACTGATGCACCATGGGGGATGTGATGTACGCAGGCAAAAGAAATCCAATGTCCATGCAAGAGCTGCGGTATTTTGCTGGTTTATTTGAGGAAAACAAACAAAAGAACAAAGACAATCGTGGCTCCTGCTGCCTCTCTTGATCTGGTTAAAAACAATAGGCCCACCCAGGTGCATGCTGGTTCTCTACCTGCCTCTTACTTAAATAATCTCCGGTGCCCACAGTATTACCCAAATACCTAACAAAAATACTAATACAAAACTAAATTTACTAAACAAATAACTAGCAAAAAAAAGAAAACGTTACCCAAAATCTTTTCTAAATAAAAAAAAAAACGTGTAGAATAATTAAATAAACAACACCACCCAAATATTAGTAAACTAAATACAAAAACTAATTCTAACCACAATTAAATAGCTCCAACAACTTCCATGTGTAATATAAAGTCTTTAAAACAACACAAATAGTTAAACACTGCGGTTGATACAATATAAGCATGGATTGTTTGTTTTAAAATCCCTGTGAACAACTATTCTATTTGTTAGAAGAAAAAAAAAAAGACAAGTTATAAAATTACAGACAAAGAGGCGGAAGCGGAAGCGTGCTGAAGCGTGCTCAATGACGTCATGACGGCCCGGTCTCTAATGGCTGAACAACAACTGACGGCTAGTGACAAACTTTACCAAACTTCTTCAGGGGCGAAAGAAACTTTGAATCGACATTTAGTATCAGCTGTGTAACAGCCACGGCGTGTTTGTCTTGTTCTCGTTGTGATTACAAATGTGGAATTACTGATGGATCCGAGGTATGACATACCGCGGAGGGCCGCCGGAGGTGGCGGGGGCTCCGCGAACTCGTCCCCCGCTCTAGGGGCTCAGTCGCGCCGCAGGAAGATGCCTCCCAGGCCCGCTGACTTTAAACTTCAAATTATCATAATTGGCTCCCGCGGTGTTGGTAAAACCAGCCTCATGGAGAGATATACTGACGACACTTTCTGCGAAGCTTGCAAGTCGACCGTAGGTAAGGACAGGAGGCGTTTAAGGACTTGTTTTGGTCAACTTTTTTTATTGACAGCACTTAGCAGGGCTCCGTCTACTTTCTGGAGAGTTGAACTACAATTGGCTGCATGTTGTGTTGCTGTTGACCACTGATTTACTGTTCACTGTGACTGAATAAAGATCAATATGTTAGCTAGCTGACTTAAGCTACCAGTGACGACTATTACTGTCCTGGCTAACGAAGATGTTGCTATGAGTAACAAGGTAAACACACGTTTGAGACTGATAATGGTTTGAGTTTTGGGAGATATTTTAAGTGCTCGACACAGTGAGGACAATACTTGTCAAATAGTATCGACCTGACACAACACAGTCAACCCAATCCCAATCAGTATTAGTTCTTACTTGACAGCCTTTAATGTGTATTTCAGTATAAACATAGTCCTGTAGGTGTAATAAAGTGACACTTTGCATATACTATATTAAAACTCACAAGTGCATACACTGAGAGGTAACTCTTCTATTGAACAGGAGAGTTTTTTTTTTTGTTGTTAAACTTTCTTAATTGCTTTTACATATTAACAACATTTCCACTTAGCAATGTCCATACAGAATGTGTGTGGTTTTTTTCTCCCAACAAGAACAAGATAAACAAACAGATACATACAAACAATTAGACCCCTCACCCCCACCCCACCCCTGGCACAAAAAAAACAAAAACAAAACAGGGTTGACAATAACAAAAAGTAGGTTCTCAGTCTAGATTAAAGTGACACTCTGTGCTTTTGACATATGACAAAAAAGGGTTCCAAGTTTTTCCAAAGGGCCTCTCAGATCCAGACAGGGTTAACCTGATTTTTTTCCAGTTTAAGAAAATGAAGCACCTCTTTAATCCAGTATAAATGTGTGGGTGGGGCAGAGGATTTCCATCTCAGCAGAATCAGCCTCGAACAGGAGAGTTATACGTGACAAACTGTGGTGTCCTTGATGTTGTTTCTGCAAGCTCCAAAAAAAAAAGCAAATCCTCATACTTGATATGTGGAAATGGTAAACAGTCCTGTGATCAAAACAACAGTCAGTCATAGGGAACTATCCCAAAATAGACAAGCAGCTGCTGGGCAGAGATCCATTTTGCACCTTGTCATCCTTGTGACACAACTACCACCAGGCTTTGAGAGCTGCACGTCACTACATGTGTGTATATTTGATCCCGGGGATTGAGGAGGGAATAATTTGGCTGCAGACGGAGTCCGGCGGCTGAAAATGTTGTTGTCCTATCTTGTAATTTCTTTGTAGACACAGACGATGGCACGCCACAAGAACAGCATTTAAAATAATGAAACGGGTGTAACAAATAGTTTTGCAACTGTTAAGAAAAAATGCCAAGAGATAATGGAAGTAGATCAGGAATGGGACAGAAGTTATTTGTAATGCTGCTTGCTCTAAAACCAAACAAAAATCAACTATCTTGAATGATACCTACATGAAATCCAAACAAAAACCGAGATACTGGTGCTTGTATGTGTTCATATGTGTGTTTCTGATTCCCCTTGTAGGAGTTGACTTCAAGATCAAGACAGTGGAGCTGAGAGGGAAGAAAATCAGACTACAGATATGGTGAGTAATGGGACCGACGTCTCTAGTTCCTGTATTCCTTTGCATGGAGCATTTCCTGTGTCTGTCTTATCGCCCCGCAGGCTTTTCTGACTTGTGGCTGACTGAGTGAGTGCATCTTAGCTTTTTAAAGAGGGGGCATGTGCAAATAAGACTCCTTAATAGCCAAACCATTGATGTTTTGGATTGCCAAATCAATTAACCTCCAATGAGCTTTTGAAAGTTTAAAAACGTATGACTCCAGGGGCACTGTATGTTAGATTCACTTCATGTGGAACTTAATCTTATACTAACCATGTTGTTGTTGTTGTACAGCTGGCCAGCATGTTGGTTATTTTTGTGGGTTTGGTTGCCTTTATGTTTTTCTATTTGTTCAAGAACAATAAAAAAGTACACACTTAAGATAAGAAGACTATATAGTTTCATCCCATACCTGATGAGAGTCTGAAACAGATATTTATTCATCGATGTCAGTGGGAAAGAACACTATGCCTACACTGTAGAGACTTTGTTAAAAGAAAGCCCCTTGCACATGTAACTCACATTTTAACCAGTGCAAATAGTAGTTGATGTTTATGAGTGGTACGTCAGTGTAGCCTCATGTCCTGTCGGCTGTCATGCTGTCTGTTATATAATAACTGGAGGTTCATCATTACCATGTGTTAATCCACATTCTAAATAATTACAGGTAACCACTGTGACTAGTGCCTGCACTAGTCTAACACAACTGGTTTCACATTTATTTTCACACCGTCTTCCACAGATTTGTTCAATACTGTTAGATATTAGTAATTAGATTTATTGTTCATTTTAATTTATCATCAGATTTCTCTTCAAAAGTTTTAGTAATAAAAAATATATATAACAGAACTTTAATCAATTAGTTAGTGAAACTCTGCTACTTGTATAGCAGTTCACCACTCCAGAGTCCAGACATACAGTTATTTTGTATCTTGAGAGCTAAAAGTAAATACACTTTTTGTTTCATGAAATGTTCTTTCATAGTTTTGGAATTTAAAAAAAAACTCTTGCAATGTGTGCAGTGATTGGGAGGTCTGTTTGAGCAACCAGTGAAAGGGGTGATATTATTTCAACGATTTGATTCTATCATGCGCCTACTTGGATCTTGTGACTTCAACTAGGCCCTAATTACATTTTGAAAACATTCTGTAAACCTGAGCGGCATGCCACAAATTACTGTTTTTGTACTGACAGAGAATATGACTGCAGTTGTTGTGAGCTACTGTGCTGGGCCCAAAAAAAAAAAAAAGTGAGAACGCCATCGCTTCTTTCACTAACACATCTGTCTTGTTCACTAACACCCCATCCACCTCCACGCCCCATTGTATCCCCCTTACTCTGCCCGCCCCTTGGCCTGTCACTCAGGATGGCGGTCCTCAGTGTGTCTCGTCTCTCTCGTGTTGAACTGCTCACATCAAGCTCCATCATTGCCTAAGCTAACCCTGCCATTGTGCCGCTGTGTGTCTGTCCGCTCTCCTGCTCATAAGCCTGACTGTGACTCACATGGGGGACGGGGACATTCTATCTGGCTGAAGGTACAGTAACACTGCACTGTGAGTCGAGCTCGTGTTTGTTAATCATGCTGCTAACCCAGAATCAGATGTTTCAGATGGATTCTTTTTAGAACCAAAAATGATTTCAAGTACAGTACATCAAAACAATAAATCCCAAATATATTTAAACTAACTTTTACTTTCCAAAGAACAATGTGAGATGTGTAAATAAATCGTATTTCAACCGTCTTTACTTGTTATTGATCAACCTAAAGTTGCTTTGAATAGACTTCGCTTTTAGCATTTGATAGCGTTTGATAAATACTTTATAAAAATGTACTAACGTAGTGATGAGGTATTTTCAAGTGTTTATTAATTATTATTTTCAATAATTGAACCTCTTTTGTGAAAACATTTGAAATGATTACAGCTATGTTTTTCCTTATCCTCTTTCATTATCTGTTAATACCACCAGCCTCCACTAATAGAACAGCAGATCTCAGTGGATGACAAAAACTCTGTTAAGCATTTATTTGAATATAACTACAGTATATTGTTTTATTGAACATTTTTTAAATCTTTGTAGATGGCTTTGTAATGCTTTACATAGGAATGTAGATGTCTCGTTTTAGAACTATTCTTCTGATGTATGTTTGATGAAGATAGATGCCAGATGATAAGTGAAATCACATTTAACCAAAACAATCACTGTTTAAGATTTTTATTATGTAATTACTAACTAAAAAAGAAATATTTTTGGACTATTGTTAGTTTTATTGATTAAGACGTTGACTAAAAAGAAAGCTGATTTTTTTTTTCCACCCTTCATGTTTGATATTGTTTTTTCTTAGCATCAACCTCTTAGTCATCCTTTCTCAGTGAATTACATTTTTCTCAGATCAGATCAGTCGTTGGGTATTACAGAAGTCTTGATGGTACTGCTCTGACCGCACAGACTTGAACTAACATTCATTTATGTTTCATCCAGGGACACGGCTGGCCAGGAGAGGTTCAACAGCATCACATCAGCCTACTACAGAAGTGCAAAGGGAATAGTGCTGGTGTATGATATCACAAAGCAGGAGACCTTTGATGACCTGCCCAAATGGATGAAAATGATAGACAAGGTAAACAAACTGTCAGACTGCTGCGATTCTGTGGGGTATGTTTTGTGTTTTTGTTGTGTTGTTGTGTTATTATTTTGTGCCAGACATGTCATAAAATGTTACAACTCAGTGGACTCAGTCCTCTAATTCAGTGACCTGACAATTCTGCCAATACCTGGCATTAAAGTTTACGGAAAGAATTAATCAAAGAACATTTTTAATGAGCCGGTCATTCACCCTTTAGACCTGGCTGTAGTCTCATTTACACTGGTTATTTAAGGTGTCATCATGCAGCTTCTGGTTTGACTTTTATGAAATGTGAGGCTCATGATATCCTGATGTGTCTTTTTTTTCTCTGTTTCGTGTCAGTACGCCTCAGAGGAAGCAGAGCTTCTGCTGGTCGGAAACAAACTGGACTGTGAGACTGATCGGATCATCTCCAAACAACAAGGAGAGAGGGTGCAGTTCAACACATTCACACACGCACTGCCATTCACCTTTTCTTTAAAAATCACAGATCCAGTCTCTAGTTTTTATGCATTAAGTCAGTTTAAAGAATGTAAAAGAGATGTTAGTGTACATCTTGTGTGATGCCATTTTACAGAATAACTCCTATCAAACAAGAACAAATCTTATAGTAATTGAACTGAATTTGGTCGAACAGCTGTTGCCTGTAACTCAATCCCTCTCCTGGTGCGCAGCAACTTTACCTTGCTTGAGCTTATTCAAACACGTCAAGGGAGATTGCAGCATAGGTGATTATCTTGAGGTTTTGTGTCTACCTCCGACAGACTACTTCTCATGGCGGTTTAAAAATTGTTTTCTGAAGGCTGAAGCCTCGCTCTGCTGCCACACTGGACTGGAGACTCGAAAACTAGCGCTACTTCAGGGAGACTTTTGTATTCAGGAAACATTTCCCTAAGTGAACTCATCAGGGGTTGGCAAGACTCTGAATGTGGTCACGATCAAAGGCATCCAGAGCGGAGTTAGGGATAATGTCCATATGTTCCGAGGGGAATCCTTTTTTGATAGATGTAATCACCTCTGCGATGTACTCTGTGTGCATAATGGAAAAGGTCTGGCACATCTGTCTGCGCGAGTGTGATGCCAAACACTATCGCCCTCAGAATTCTAATCGTTCAAAACAACAGAGAGCCTTCAGATCTCTCCGTCGTGTTCAAAGAATTCCTTCAAAGACAGAAAATAGATTCAGATATGGTTGCGATCTCTGTGTCAGTCTGTTTCTTTGAATATAAACTCTGTGAGCTTCAAAATGATAATACTGATGCCATCCAAAAAACTGGAAGTATGTTCAATATTGCTTTTATGAAAAGTTTTCAGTTCTAGATCGCTCGTATGTTGCTCATCTCAATTTCTTCTCTTGTGTAATAATGTAAAGTCCTCTGTGGAGAGTGAGCTAAATGATCTTCATTTGTGTTACAGTTTGCCTCCAGAATAAGTGGAATGCGTTTCTGCGAAGCTAGTGCCAAGGATAATTTCAATGTCGATGAGATCTTCCTGAAGCTTGTGGACGACATCCTTAGCAAGGTTGGTGTGTTACCAGCATAGCAAAAAATGTTTTTCTCATTCTTCAATAAAATGAACAGAAAACAAAACCCCTCTCTGTATCTAGTGAAAACGCTGATGATAGGTTGTTTTTGCTCTCTGATGCTCTGTTCCTTTTTTATTTTCCTCCCTAAAGTTTTAGCTCATTCAGCCTTTGAATTAAATAAGTCACAGCAGATATCAGTTTAAGCACACTTGTAAATCTTCAGTGCACTAACCATGTGTTGTCTGACTTTTTCTTGGTACAAACAGATGCCTCTGGAAGTTTCCAACAAGGAGCTTTCCAACAGCGTCCTGTCTCTGCAGCCTGAACCGGAAGTGCCTCCGGAGTTGCCGCCTCCTCGCATGCGCTGTTGCTGAGAGCCAGAGTGTTCCCCAATCCTTTTACACACAAACACACAACTGCACATTACAGCTCATCACATGCAGAGTACCAATCTGGCCACTGGGGGGCGGCAAATAGCAGCAGTTGGGAGCTAATGACTGCTGATGTACGACGCATGGACTCTCTAAACAACCAGTATCAACCCTGTTCCCTCTCCTGTCTTCTAGCTGTACTCACTGACATGTGCTTCACTAACACTTAGGCATAGTGAATCGCCCACTTCCTACCACATGTCTGTCTACACTTGACCCAGACTACCTCATTCCTCAAACCGCTTGACTAGCTGTGCCCCGCAGGTGCCTTGGAGGTAGAGAGCCCTCTGGTAGCAGTTGCACATTAACCAGATGAGGGATTACTGAAGGCCTAACAGCTCGTTCTCTTCCTTTTTTTTCTATTATTAAACAGTCAACATGAATACTGTACACTAAGGTTGGTGCATCTGCATCATGTTACAGTAAAGGGATAACAATATCTCACATCACTGCAGCTTAGTTTAAATTCTAGGTGTAGTTAAATACGTTTTTTTAATCTCATTAAAAGGTATATTTACCAAGAGACGAGCTGACTTGAGGTAAACAAAAGCACATGATGTAAATACGCTGTGTTGGTGTAATGACTGGACAAGATGCAGATTTTTGTGGCCAGCAGAAAGTGGTGGTGTGGTTGTGGTGATCATATCAGTTTTTATTCCTATGCGTTAAGATATTTGGCGAGGCTGAAACGGCTCATTTCCCATTTGTATAAGTTGAAACGTTTTTGCACTACAATTCCTCTTACTTAGTTAAACTGACATGAAGAAAAAACAAGTACACAACTTGTAGTTTAGTGTTCAAAGTAAAAGATCAATGCTGCCTCTCAAGTGGCTGCTCCTAATTCTTCCGTACGCCTGATGGTCATGCAAGGAGAGATGGGTAATGTAGTCTTTTAGGGATCTGTGTTTTCACTTGAGGCATCCTCCAGTTGAGATGCTGAATTTTTAGTGGAAATGAGGACTATATATTTCTAGTAAACCCACACCATGGTTTTAACCTTTGCTTTGGTTGTTACTAATACAGAAAAGTGTTTTGTTGTTTATGTTTTTCCTTTGAATTGAGACACAGACGAGGGAAGGTTGTTGTGCAGGAACTAAAGGTTGTTGTTTTTGTAGTATTTGAATGGCTCAGGACACGTTTGTCAGGCTTTTAATGCAAACTGGATGTGTTAAGAGTTTCATAACAGATACAAAAACTTCTTAAATATCCAGCTTAAAGGGGAAATTAACTATTTACAGAAGGGGTCAGCAGTTTTGAATTCATGATTTGGCTGTTGAGGAAAAACGTGGTGAAATGCCATTACCTGCACATTTGCAAAAATACTAGGCTATGCATGTTAAGCCCTAGTGTCTTAATAGACATTTATAATCCTTTAAATCTTCCGTCTTTTTAAGTCAATTAATGCAATATTAGCAATGTAGCACTGTGAGTCTTTCGGTTTTGTTTGTTCATGTTGAGGTAAAAGCCTGTGTGCGAGGTTAAGGAAGGACAAACCTGTTTAAAGAACCTGATTAAGAATGACTCGCTGTTTAATTCTGTTTTTGTTGAAGATTTATGTTAAGCTCCAGCAGCTTTTGTGGACTTAGAAGGGCACATTTTGTAGTCGAACAGGTGATTAGTTACATACCAAAACAAAAGAAAACGACAGTTAGTGATATTCAAGCAGCGCTCACAGTGAGTTTATCAGCCAGCAAACTTTAGTGCATACAAGTAAACTTTGCAGTTTTATCACTTGTATTTTAAAACCACAAACTTCTTTCATATTTTCTTTTTTGTGGAATCAAACCTTTTGATTGGCCCCTGTCTCGTAGCATCAGGCACTAACCCTGTGGTCTTTTGATTTGAATAGCCAAGCCTTATACCACTCAGTGTTTTAAATAACCATTTGAAAATATTGATTTCATTTGAAATGTGTATCCTTTAAGATGGACGACTGTACTTTCTACTACATCTGTTCAAAAGTCTTTGAAAAGTTTTGGCATGTTTAAAGCAGATTTGTGGTATTTATAACTTGTGGCATTCTCATACTAATGAAATGCGATTAAAGATATCTATATTTATTACCAGATTATGGTCTTGTTTTTTTTCTGTATGACATACTGGAAGCCTTTAATGGATTTCAGGTACACCAAAATATATACTCAGCTTAATTTTTACAGCATGTTAACCAGGCTTCTTGAAATATATTCTATAAGTGTTGTTTTTACTTTATAGTTAAAATAGGCTATTTCAGGTTCTTTAGGATAAAAATAATTGATTAAGAGAAATTGACAGGATTCTCCATATAGTAAGAGGTGAGTATTAGTATCTCCTGAGTCCATCTGTACACCTCCTTTAAAGATGTACATTGGCCAATTGTGTCTCTGCCTCTGCCTCTGTGTTATCGGGACATGCGCACCAAAGCGTGTCAGACCTGGTCCCAGAGAAAACAAGGGGTGTGCTTGGGTGCTTGCGAGGCAGCAGCGCATGCGCCCCGCAGGAAATCACGGGCGTCGAGCCTCACACCGCAGCGATTGCAGATCTTGCATGTCCGAAAGGAAGGTGTGGGAAGGGGGTTACGAGACACGGGGGGGGTCCAGCCGTCATTGCCCGGCGTAAGAAGGGGATGGAGACCCGATCTGTGGGAGAAGAAGAAGAGGGCTGCCGTGACTCCGCCTGATAGTTTTTTTCTTTCCAACTTGAGCCGTACGAGCCCTGTCTGCGGATGCAACCTGTCTGTCATACCGTCCGTCCCGGTAATCCCTTTCTTATTGCAGCGTTTCCTCCTCCTCCGAGGAGGCTCCAGGCAGAGGGGACTACAATGACAACCTGGTGAATGCACATGAGACGATGGAGTAAAACATTTGGCAAACGCAGGATGCGCATCCCCAGCCCGAGAAGGACGAAGGTAGAGGAACCTGGCTCTTTTTCTGCTGTCGCGCGTCAGAGATTTTCCGCGTTGTTGTGGATTGATCGTTGCCTTCATCGCCCTCCTGCTGCCGGTGTCGGTGTACAATGGAGAGCTCCAATGGCTCTGGCAGCGAAACCAAACCGCAGAACCACCAGTTGGAGAAGAAGAGACTGAACCGAGTAGCTTCCCCGGCCAGACCTTTCCTCAAGGATGTACACTCCCGCTCCACCAAACCACCTGCCATCGTACCCAAATCCCCCAAACTTAGCAAGCAGCAGCAGGGTTCTTCACTGCCCTTGGCCCATCCGAACCGCAGCTCCAGACGGATCACATACGGGCCGAAGGAGAAACCAGCAACGACGAAAAGTAACCCCAAGTCCTCTGTGGCCAAAAAGCCCACTAAGGTGCCCCAGCATGCTGCAGCCGAGCCTAAAGCCGCCAGTATCAAACCGGACAGCACCAGCAGTCCCATCCTCACTAAAAGCAAGAAGGGGAAACTAGCCTCTCAGGCGGGCCCTCTCAGCCATGGATCTCCGATCCGGGTACCGACCGGGGTGCCTCTGGGTCGGGTCAGTCAGACAGACAGCAGCTCAGATCTGTCAGACTGTCAGTCCGAGCCGCTGTCGGACGAGCAGAGGCAGGCTCCGGCCGCTAGCAGCGACGCCGAGTCCGGTACTGGGTCCAGTGACCGGGATCAGGTGGGAGCAGATAATCCGCCGCGGGGGGAAGCGACCGGAGAGACTGCTGCTGCTGCTGCTACAGCTGCTGCTGCTGCTTCTCCGCCGCGCACATCCGAGGCTTCCGCCGCCAAGGGAAGCATGTCTCAGGCTCAGTGCGCTCCGGGGGCGCAGGGAGACAAACACAAGCCGGAGAAAGCTTCATCAGGCGCACAAATCAGACTGCCAGGAAACAAGGATGTAGCTGAGGAGGACCTGCAGCGGGAGGTTGAAGATTTGAGATCTGAAAACGACTACCTCAAGGTATGTTGATACATTCTCAACAAGTTACAGGACAACCAAGTCACTATAGCCTGCATTTGTTGCAAATACTCTTTAAAAAAAAAAATGAAAATGTCAGTTTTCCAATTCAAGACAAAGTTGTTGTTTTTTCCCCACTGATAGCTCATATAATCTACTAACCCAGATACAGCTGTTCACCAAGGAAGACCCAAACCTGTCCCCTATACCTATCAGAACATGTGGCCACAACGCCTGATATTGCAAATACTTTATATGAACACATCATTCAGAAGGTACATTTATTAAACATAATTTTCTTCAGACTTATTTGTCTTTACAGCCCAGCTGCAGCTGTTTCCCAAAAGAGCACCCCACACTGTGTCATTATAGGACCGTCCCGTTTAAAACGCCTCCATCACCTGTTTTTAGTGTCCTTTAACATTTCCACTTACTCACTAATTGTAAAGATAAATGTATGATTTAGCATTATTCATTTCCTTTAATGCCCAGCTGTCCTCCATGAATACTGTCGACTCTCCATCCATCATGTCGTCTTTTGTAACCTTCCCGGGCTTCCCTGCAGTTTGACCTTTATTGATGAGACTTTTATGGATGATGGCATCAGGCTGCCGTGTCCTGAGATTTTTTATACTGTCGCTGTCTTGTCATCAAAATCTGAAATTTTGACAGAGAGTCGCAACATGTTCTTCCTCCAAGCATCTCTGTTGCATTTCGAACACAGAAAGAAACATCAAATCCATGTTGTGATGTAAACAGATTAGACTTATAGCAGACTTTTTAATCTTTATGTATTGGTTTTTCTTTACCTTCTGCATGAAGGTCCTTCTTGATTTTGGTTTCAGTAAGGGATCCCCATCCCCCCTTCTTTAAGTAGGCTATCCCCATAAGTTGGGGAGGGGAGGCAAACAGATAATGCGGCAAACAATCATGCAGGTTATTTTTCTTTTGTAGATGAGAGACAGGTTTATTTGCATGTTACCCTGAATGTTATTCCCAACTTGATCATGCATGCATCTCTCTCTCTCTCTCTCTCTCTCTCTCTCTCTCTCTCTCTCTCTCTCTCTCTCCCTCTCCCTCTCTCTCTTCTGGAGCGGGACAGAAACACAAGAGAGTTAATCAGCTTTACTGGCTCTGGCTGTAATGGCATTATCCCACAGGACTTGATAACAGTCAGATGTCCCATGTGTGTTGGGTTCAAACACCCTCCTCCTGCCTGGCTGTCAGTCTGACAGCTGGGGACTCTGAGGCGAAACTCCTCCACCTCCCCCCACCCACCATGCTCCAAAATGTCAGGGAGTCCCCATCACTCACACCTCTGATACTACAGAAAAAAACATGTTTATCACTTTTATTTATTTATTTGGACGCCTGATGGTTTGATCTCTTCTAAGGAGATTGTGTTTTGGGTGTCCTTTCTTCTTCTGGTTTTCAGCATGATGATTAAAAAAATACTGGCCCTGATTTCATGAAATGTGCAAAGGGTTAACAAGACTGAACCCATTCAACTTTGCGCAAGATGCAGCATATTAATATTGTACCAGTTCAAACACCTCTGTAAATAATCTTATCCAACGTACAAACACGCATTTGATATCAGATCTGACTCACAAGCATCCAGTGTTGTTTGTCTATCAACCAGATTACGTAAAAAACTACCAGCCTGACTTAAATGAAATTCAGTAGCAGTGTGTTGCAGTGGTCTTTTAATAACTTAGTTAATATTGGAGCAGATCTGGAGCTGACTCATTAACAGCAATCTATTGGCCAAATCATATATTTGTATTGCAAATTGCCTAATTAATAGCAGATCTGACTCACAACAAAGCATTGGCATGAGTTTGTTTGTTTGTCAGCGTGATTCAAGAAAAACACTACTGGCCTGATTTACATGAAACTTGGCAGATAGATGGAACAAGAGTCAAGTGAGAAGCCATTAAACGTTGGAGCAGATGAGAATGTGACTTACAAATATGGACTGACCAAATTGTAACACCAGTTTTTAGATAACAGCAGATTGGACTGGAGAACGAGGCCTTTGCAGAGCTCTGTATCCTCAGGGTGCCCTTCTCATTGTTGAGTTTACGTGACTTATTTCTTTGCTTGGTTTGTAAATGGTCATAGAAATGCTAAATGTGTGCGTTCCCAGAGCTCATGGTGAAGTCTGCAAAATGTTTTTAAATCCTAATTTTAATCAACTCAAAGGGATTTTGAGAACTATCATTAAAAACAAACAATAACTGCCTAATGTCATGTATTTGATGAGCTGGATCCAGAGCTTTAGAGCACTACATCATCATGTTTGATGACTGAGTCTAGAGTCTAGAAAGTAATGGATCATCGTGTTTCATTCATAATGTTTATTTAACTGTTGTCTTCAGCTTTCTTAATTTAGCATATACACTTTGCTGGGTCAGTTATAGTTTCAGACATTTTGATTGCATATTCATTTTGATTGCATATTCATTTTGATTGCATATTCATTTTATTGCGTCACTAATGTGAGGCTCTATTTTTGGTTTTCTTTGAAGAATATGTCATATTTTAAGTAATCGACCATTAGTTGCTTAAAACAAACTTTTATGAAGTCGACTACTTGGGTTGTGAGGACCTTTTCTTTTCTTTATTCAAAGTTTTTGGACAACAGAAAATGTACAGTGTAATATATAATCTTACATAGCACACAGAAAGGTTTGTGAGAAACTTTGATGAGCTTGACACATTTATTACATTGTAAGATTCATAAACTTATCAAAGAAATATTTGGCAGACCATCCATGATTAAAAATACTGTCATTAGTTTCAGTGCCACCATATGCTTTATGTGAAAGGTGTCAAAGTTAAGAGCAAAGAATATAAATACTGCAGGTACAGTTGATGCTTAGTAAGGATTTCCTCACTTAAGACCCTTAAAGAGACGGTTAAATACGACTAAGTACTGCTGGGGAGGACTCTCCCAGAATGCCATTCTGCCTGTGGCTGTGCTTTTAACCTGGCCATCGATTGGTTCGACCCTGTGTTGTGTGAGGTCATTAGCTTCTTCCTCCAGGGTCCTCCTCACATAACAATGTGCTCTCTGCTTTCCCAAACGAGGATAGATTTAGTTTTCATTAATTGCCACACACCTTCCCTCCACACCCAGTTGTCTTTTCATCAGGTGTCAGTCAAAAAACGCTGAAATATCCATCGCAGGGGAAAAAA